GGGCAAGCTACTGATTTCCACTGAGCTTTTCTTCGTTCTCAGAGTTCTCATATCCTTTGTTTTTATTGCAATGTATTAACTTAGCTCCCCCAAGTTAAAAGGGTAAATCAGACATGGACCCCGTGCTCACTGTGCCTAGAGGGATACCCGCTACACCTCACTGACAAGGTCCAAAGAAGGCCAAAACAATAATCTGGGGTTGCTGTATCTCTTGTGCAGAGGAAACTTGTTGGCATTTAGGTTCTGGATGGCTCTTATGGGTGAGATCAGTCAGATATGCTTCAGAATATGTTAATGACAAAAAACATTTTGAAACCTGAGCAGGGATTTACCGAGGGGCAAGCTACTGAGTTCCTCCAAGTTTTTGTCCATTCTCAGGGTTCTCATATTCTTTGTCCATTTTTTTTGCCATATCAGTACCAATGGAATTAAGTGATTCAATTTAACTTTGAACTTTTATGGACAAATATCATGAGGAAGGCTTACTGTAGGAAACACTATTTGTGTAACTAAAATAAATCTTGTTGCCATAGCTTGATCAGGCAGCATAAGGCAGGTTGACTCCTTTGATAAAAAAAAAGGGTGCGCTGTGTCTTTAAGACAAAAGTAGTGCAATGTTCCTTTAAAAACACTCCAGTGCTTCAAAAAAACACAAACTCTATTAGATAAATGTGTTGCTATTACACACTCTACAATAGTGCAAAAAAGTGCAAATGTGCAAATATCACTTTTAAAAGTATATTAGTGAAAATTGGTAATTTTCAAATGTCACTTTTATATTAGTGTATTGGTGAAAAATTAGTTAAAAAAAACGGAGCACTTACAATACCCCGCTATATGTACCTTAGGTCTGGTTACTCCAGTTTTACATACATATGTATAAAAAATAAATAAGAGAACATAATGTAATACAGTATTACAAATTATGTTATTAGAACAATGTATAATGTTAAACTCACGAGTGGAGAGCAGAGAAGTCTGCTCTAACTTTATCCGCTTCTTGTGTAAAACCAAAAGGTCATAGGACGGCAGCAAGTTGAAAGAAACACTTTTTTATTTCCAATAAATCTTCACAATATTAAAAATAGTCCCGCAAGTGGTATCGCTTTGCTCACTCAGTCTCTCTTTGGAAGGCGTACTGCATACAGTTTCGCTGCCGGCTAGCACCGTACCGCAAACACTTCCTGGAGGCGGAGCCTAATGATGTAACCACGGGACGTACGTGATGACGCGTTTCGCCACAAAATCGGCTTCCTCAGATCACACTTCCATCCTGCTGCTGCCTTGCTTTTAAGTCCGTTCTCATAGGTGTATATCCACCTATTAAGTCCTCATTATTGGTTACCAGTGTAACCCCTTAATACCACTTGCAGCTGTTCTGCCCATGGCCAAGGTTGACTCCTTTGAGCATAGTGTTTGACAAACGTAGTTAATGAACATTTTTCTTACAACATTCTGACAAGCTGAACCGGGGGATAATTTAAATGTGTAGAAAATAAATACAAAGAAATCATTGAAATAACCAGATTTTTCTTCTAATAACTAATGTCTAAGGAATGCTATCTTCTAGATGTGTTTTCTGGCTCATTGATGCCTTCAGTTGTTTGCTCAATATGATGCCAGTATGACCTAAAAACTGACCTGACCTTTAAATCAAAACATGCTGAAACAAAACCTGCATGACACCTACTATAGAGCACATACTGATGCAGACATGCTTAGTTCAATTCCAAGCTTAGCCCCGATGCTCATCCAGATGTATAGGTCACCGCTAGTATGCTTTGACCTCTGCACTCTGTGAGAGCTACTGAATGATTTTTCTTTGCTTCATTCTTTCTCCTTCAGTTGAAAAGTTCACTTGGGTTTTGCTTCCTGATGTGATTTTGTTATATATAACAGCTATTTTTATTTACTTACATCATTTTTATTTTTTTGTCTCTGTTTGCATATTAGAAAAAATTTACAGCAGTAGAATGATGGAAATTACACAGCCCTATAAGGGAATTATAAAAACTGGGTATTAAAAGTTTTACTTTTTGTTTAGGTAATGCAATTGCACTAAAAGGCTAATAGTGTTTTATATATATATATATATATATTACTATCCACATACTTCAGGTGGAAGGGGTTTTCAATCACAATTTTTTCCCCACCATAACCTATTTAGATTTTGCTTCCCAAGCACTACCAAGCCTCAATTAGCAAACCAGTAACCAACCTCATGCTGAAGAGTTGCATTAACAACGAAACAGCTGTCCATGAGTGGTTCACTGGTTTTGCATCTTATCCTAAATTGTGTTCCAAGCAGTTGTATACTGCAAACACAAATTAAAAGGAATCCATGTTTAAAATGGAATGAGGCAAAAATGTGATTCTTTGTTAAACTAATTTGCATATGCCCACCCAGAATCCTTTGCGGTTGTAACATCACTGCTGATTTGGAATTTCTGTGGGAAAAGCAAGTCTTATGGCTTGACTGGTGTGCAGATTTTTGTTTAGCATTGTATTAACTATATATATATATATATATATATATATATATATATATATATATATATATATATATAATTAAGAGGATTACATTATTTTCAAGCATCCTTTTGTCTCCACTTCCACTTTAGAGCAGACATCTTAATCAGCGTTTCAACCCCTTTATGAAAACAATGGATCAGTTTTGATTCAAAGGGCTACATGTGAAGTAATAAGTAGACACGATACGTTTGGTTTAGTTAAAAGTGGGGCCGCAGAACAAGCAGACTCATTCGATTGGTGATTGCTTGGTATGAAACACATGCTGCGTGCTATTTTTATCCCTTACCTCTTTATAGTACATGGGGGCAGATGGACTGGCAAACAAACAGGTTATTTTTCATTACTTCTTAAAATTTGTCACCTCAGCACATCTCCTGGAATACTTGAATGTATGCACATTATTTGCTAATGCATTTCTGCTAATATGTTCTAGTCTTTCATTGATATCACTACATTTGGTAATTGCTCATGAAATAGAACTTTAGTGATTTAATAAAGATAATGTTGTAGCTATCTCCTTTTTACATGTTTATAAATCTCCTTCATAGTGCTACGTGTTTAATTACAACAACCTGGAGAGCAACAGCATATGGGACTGACTTTAACTCCCCGTTACAGAGTATGACTGTCAATAATATTCTACAAAAAATATATTGTCTAACAAAAGCGAAGTATATTTTTACTTCACTCGTAAACAACAACATGACAGTATTACGGGATGCTATTACCATTGTTGAGGTATTTACCTTAACACACACCACATTAACATGAATTGCATGTCCAGAAACACCAGAAAATGTTCAGGTTCTGTAGTAACAAAAATGAAAAACCCCACAATTTTATATAAAATATATTATACAGATTATATATTGTCTCTCTGAGTACATGTATGTATGTATATATATTATTGTGTGTGTGTGTGTGTGTGTGTGTGTGTGTGTATATATTTATGCATCTTGTAACAAAATAAAGATGATTTCTTCTTCATAATTTTGCAAGGGCCATCTAACTTAAACCCTTAGGGCATCCTATAAAATTATACTGGAGGTATTTGTTGCAGATGTGCTCATGGGCAAGAGGAGAGCCAACTTGAGCCAGCATTTGAAATTGATTGACTTCAGATGTTAGTATCATAAACAGGAGAGTATAGGAATGGACAATAAGCAGGCAATGGAAAACATCAAAGTGGAACTGTTAGTAAACACAGCTCTTAAAATATATTCCATGTTTCTCTATGCACACATGGACAGGGATAGAAAACAGGCTGCAGACTGATTCCCACTATGATTTTAGAATTCTGTATCTACTCTTAGGTTAAAATAAACTGAATATAGATGTTTCTCTCTCTTTTTTTTCCTTGTTACACTTTATTCTAACTGCTGTTACGCACATGCATTAACAATATTGACAATTTTGAGCTAATGTGTGTGCGATATATTTACGGTATTTAGGCAAGATACAACTACACCAATTGGACCTGTGTTATAACATTTTGAAGCTCTTAGTGGTCACTTGTTTGAACCCCTTTTCTTTTTAACTAACAGAGGAATTCTAGTTGCAATATCTGTTGATTGAGCTTAAAGGAACACTCTAGTATCAGGAATACAAACATGTATTGCTGACATTATAATGTTGAAATGCAGCATTAGGCCCTTTTCCCCAATTCCTCTGGCGAGTAAAGGTAATTTTACTGACCTTTTCTCCTATGCCGTGACAGTCTCGCTATGGCTGGCCCAGCCTGGTCCCTCCTCCATGGCTGAGATCATCAGTTTCGATAATCCTATCCAAACCAACGGTTTCCCATAGCAAAGCATTGGGAGGCTATTATGAATGCACCCTGCGCTAATTAGCAACTCCTCATAGAGATGATTGAATCAATGCATCTTTACGAGGAATGCTCAGCTCCTCCATGCAGGGCGTGGAGATGCTGAACACCGGTCATGCACACCATGCATCACTGACACAGGTATCACTTCTAGTGGCAGTCTGAATGACAGCCATTAGGGGTGTAACTAGCTAGCAATGTAAACAAAGCCTTTTCTCTAAAAAAGCAGCGTTTCGAATGAAACACCTGAAGGGACAGGCAACAGAAAAATTATATTATGCTGAAGTTGTTCTGGTGATTATAGTGGGCCTTTAAGGGGCTTTAAGAACCATGCAGCTCCTTCTCTAAACCCCAGTGGTTGGTGTTTAAGGAGGCTGAAATGTAATCTTATATCCTGCTTGTAGCGGAGAGCTGATATTCCACAGGTTATCTCCACTGAAGATTCCAGTGAGGCTCAGGGACAAGTATTAAAAATTCATAAGGCAATAATTCCAGCAAGCAAGACAATCCAACAATATCCCAACATCAATCCCAATGACTGGACGACACACAGCATCAGGAGCAGAACTGAACTTTTAATCACACAACCTTTTTTTAAAGCATTCTCCCATGCAAGGGAGGGATTTACAGTAATTATACAATACACCAATCATACACGAGTTGCCACCCACACATCACCTCCCCTTAGTGTGACACATAATCCTATTATGCAGGACACAGTTCCCCTTGTTTTCTGGATGTACCCCTAAACCTAGGAGTACCCCTTTAAATATTACATCCCCTGGTAGCCCTGATCTGGGTGAGACGCATATCCAGAAATCACCCAGATCGGACCAGGGGTTCGGGAAATTCCCGGAGGTACTAAAAAGACAGACCGTGCTGGGGTTAACAGCCGAAAAGGGTTCCATGTATTTAGGCCCTGCGGTCGGTCACAGAAAAGGGAAGGAAACACACGAATGGCTTGGGTTATGAGAGCTGGGGAGGATTCGGGTAAATCCCCTTGTTCGTGGGGTTCTTTCTACCGAACGGGAAGCCGTTCGGTAGTTTTTACACGAATTGGCGGCAGTGTGGAGTTCTCACCGGTGTTTGCCTAACAGAGTGTCCGATTTGGGTTCCAGACACTCGACGGCAAAACACCACTGTTCGGGGATGTTTAAAATGGCCGCCGCCACGTGTTCGTCTCCCGAATGACGGCCACACAGAGGACAAAGAACACACTACATGAATTGCCAATTACCCGTTTGCAACATTGTTGCGAATGGTAATTGAAGGCACACTTACTCCTGGGGTGGCCGGATTGTTCGGTAGTTTCACTCGCATAATAACTGGAGTGATTTTACCGAACAATCAGAAGAATGCTGCATACACTTCATATACACATGAGACCATTTAACCGAACACATAGCAATATACATAATTTTGAGGACAGCCCAATGCCATCCGCTACACTGCTGATCTCAAAATACTGCACCTCTCAATGGGGTTTAGTCACCAAAATTCCAGAGGGTTGACAAAGGAATTATACATTTAGGACAAAACAGCCAAGATGAAAAATAGCTTGAAGAATTGCACTAATCTGGTTATTTGATCTAGAACTTGCAATTACCTTGTCAATTCTCAGCAAATTCTCTGCTTAGTAATTAAACATTTATAGAGTTGATTGTTATTAAACATGGAAGTTGACATCTGGTGACCATGAACCTGCCAACCATATGGCCAATGCAGTTTAATAAATAGAAATTCCTGCATTCTGAAAAAAAGATCATCCATCCTTTAGTAAATAGACCCCAGTTTAAATGTGAGTTTGTTTAGTGCCTTAAATTATTTATTTCCTTGTAATATACCACCTTCTCTGGAAATATTTAAAATCATAACCAACTTCCTTGCCAAGGAATTTAACTAATGCACATCTGTCTGTCTAGCACTCAACACATATATTTCCACTTGGTGCATACCATTTTTATCCTGTGTTTGATTTTTTGTAATAGATAAATACTTTGTTCTGGATTCTATTACTTGAGATATATTTATCTTCACTTTTAACTCCAAATCCCTTCATAGACCTTAAAATGACAAAACAGAACAAAAGTTCTTAAGGTTATAAAATGCATTCTTTACGGGATATATTATCCTTCAAATATTTTATATAGATAACACCTTAATGCTTTAAGAGTGAGAAAGAGGGCAAGACCGTTTGTCTATTTATCTATCTAGCGATCTATCAATGTTTGTCTATTTGTAAAACTATCTGTCTCTGTTTGTCTGCCTATCTGTTTAGCTAACTAGCTAGCTATCTGTCTCTGTTTGTTTGTCTGCCTATCTATCCAGCTAGCTATCTGTCTTTGTTTTATCTATTTGTCAGTCTACTTGTTCATATTGGAATTATATGAATCATATAGCGAAACTAAATATAAATTGCTTCTAGCTAAAGACCAGTTCAGCAAAACAATATGTTAATTGTGGTACATTATTGTAACTAAAAATAATAAAATTCAACAGAACGCAGGTCTAGTAATTATGCAAAGTAACTTAAGGTCGCAGTTGAGCCCTGCCTTCATCCTTATGAATTTTGGAAGTATAGACATTCTGCTCATTCCCATCCTCTCTTCAGTCCGCTCAGTTTAAAGTTGGCCTCATTGATGCTGTATGTTGAGAATAAAACACTTTATACTTTCACTTCTACCAGTACATCCAAGGTTTATTAATTCTTTCATAGAAACTGAGACTACAGTATTGAAAATTTAATTCCATTTCAATCTGGCGAAAATTCTGTTTTATATTAATTTATAATTTAACTTTATAACCTAGGGAGCTTTATGTATGTGTATAAAACTCTAGATTTAACATACATGTGAAGTACTATAAGAGATTCAAGCACAGGCATAGTAAAACACTTTAGAGATGAGTAATATGCAGCAGAAGATCAAGTGAGATCTTTTAGTCATGGATCAAACCAAAGAAGATCACCCAACAAAGTGAAGGTCCAAGAGACACAAGCAACTAAGCACTAATCCCATAGGAAATATATAAATGGAATATATATGGGATGAGTGCTTAGTTGCTTGTGTCTCTTGGACCTTCACTTTGTTGGGTGATCTTCTTTGGTTTGATCCATAACTAAAAGATCTCACTTGATCTTCTGTTGCATATTACTCAACTCTAAAGTGTTTTACTATGCCTGTGCTTGAATCTCTTATAGTACTTCACATGTATGTATTTGTACTACATGGTAATATTAACACTCATTTATTTGTGTCACCCTTGTTATTGTCATTATGCAAGCATGCACCATTCGCTTTTTGTGAGTTAAATCTAGAGTTTTATAGTTAACTATACATTAAACACATGAAATAATTGAACATGCACAAACAAAGCTGCATAGACAATATTTAAGAAAGTATTTTAAAATATTTAAAAAGCATAATTTAAAAAAATTAATAAAAATATATGCATGTCTGTTATATTACCAGGCACATGTCTCACAGGGATACAATTAAAACAAGTTTGGCCAATATGACAAACCAGAATAAAGTACTACCACTATGCCCTCAGTTACTTAAATCATATGAAGTTTTAGCCACTTACTCTGTTGAAAGGCATGCACCTGGGAACAAGGTCTTTCATCTCAATTACTCTTACTATGAACCCACTTCTCAAATTTTCAAACAACAACACACTGCACTGACAGCACTTAACATAAGCCACATTCACTATCCTTTTAAAAAAGATTTATTTTTTAAAACATTTTATGGTAAACAAATATTTGTTTGACATTATGAAGTGGGCTTGAATACCTGTGATAAATCTTTCACTACGTTGATTCAGAAACATTTTTTCTCTAGGCTTTTTAGATATGCAGAAAGATATTTTATCACATGACAGCTTACTTACTGTAAATGCCCATGTTAAAAATTTTGCACATCAAACAGTATGATGATAATTTTCAGTATGTCTTTTAAAATATCTAACAAATTAATAAAAATGAAAAAAAAAACACCAAGCTGGTCAAGAAACAAAAAAACCAAAAACAACAATTAATAAAAATAATAATGAGTTAAAAACATACATTATTTGCTTATTATTAGAATAGAAATATCCCATGGTTTGTAATCAACAAATTAATAAATTCACCACAGTGAAATGTAGTAGACAGGACACTAAAAAATGGAATAAGATCATCATGGTAAATGACACGATATGAGGATCTTGTCCAACACCGAATGTTGTCTCTTGTTCCCAAGCACGAGATGAATCGTTTATACAACTGGACTGCCAAGATCCATGTAGAAGGGACCAGATATCACTTCAAATGTACAGAATTATTTCTAGGGTCTAATAATAAGTTTTGAGTTGTGATGACTTGGCAATAGCTTTGCAAAATGTTAAATAAAAATACCTTTGGTTGAAATCTCCAAGTTGGTAATGCATTGAAAGATATTTACTAAAAATACTTAGAGGTAGACTGAGAAAAACAGTATTCATTTGCTGAACCACGTTTCTCTTGATTTTTGTTTTTTGAAAAGATACTTCAGGGGGGGGATACAAAGTTGGTGTTTGTTTTGAACGTTGTCCTTTATTGCCTTATAAATATGACCTTACCAAATACAATGTTGCTTTATTCTAAATCATATATGAATTCAATTTAATTTTTAAACCTGAAGATTTTTGTGTTAATGAAAATCCCTAGTATGCATTCCCTGTGTAAATACAAATAATTAATAAAATAAAGAATTTTATAAAACATTGTTTCTTTTGATTTTCCTCTTGAATTTTAACCCTGAGGTTTAGATAGCAACTATACGATCTGCTGGTTTTACATTAATCATGCGTATCATTTTACTTTAATATACACTATGATAGTGTCTCTTATCATTAAAATCTAGATAGAACACAGTTATATATTGATCGGCCACAAGATTAAAATTACTGACAGGTGAAGTAAGTAACTCATTATATTGTTACAATGACATTTGTCAACTGATGGAATATGTTAGGCAGAAAGTGACCATGTGTTGAAAGGGCCAAATAGTAATGACTGAATGACTGGGTCAGAGCATTTTGTGGGGTGTTTCTGGTGTGCAGCGGTTAGTGCCTACCAAAATTGGTGCGAGTTTGAACAACAGGTGAACTAGTGTCTGGGTCACTGGCACCCAAGGCTGATTGATTCACACGGGGAGCAAAGGCTAGTCCATCTGTTCCAATCCCACAGAAGAGCTACTTTAGCTGCAGACCGGTCAGAGTGCCCATGATGACCACTATCTACTACTGAAAGAACCTTCATTGGGAAAGTGAGCATCTGTGGGATGTTGTGGAACAGTAAATCATATCCATGGAGGCCACACCTAGCAACTTCCAGGACTTACAATAACTGTTGCCAATATCTTGCAGTCAGATAACACCGGATATGGTTTAGTGGATTCCATGCCTCAATGCATCAAAGCATGAGTGGAACCTATACAATATTAGGCAGGTGGTTTTAATGTTGAGGCTGATCAGTGTACATAGACTAGGAGATTCATTTCAGTAATAACTGCAAATCATTCGAATTTGGGCCAATTGGGTAATTGGTCAGATTCTCAAACTCCAAGCTTCTGAGGAAGCCCTTTGGGATGAAATGCAAAAAATCTACATTCCTGTTTCCTGCTATATCCCAGCTAGGGTTTATACCACCAAAGCTATACACACTAGAGCAAGTTCCTGCTCAAAAGATTGTAAGTAGAATATCACTTCTTTCTTTGATACTATATGTGTATGTACCTACTACATTATTTGAGCATTTTTGTTTTTCTTCTCATGCTGGAGTACTATTAGATACACCCCTGAGCCAATCTTCATATATCCTAAGGCAGGGATTGTACCGTTCAAGCCCTATATAGTAGAGCTCTTAGTAACTCAGCAAAGTGTGAGTTGAACACCTATACACTTTAAAAATACTTAAATACAGATTTCACATATTGCACTAATATCTGTATATATTGTTCTTTGTTTTAAGGTCCTGTGTGATCTGAAATTACCACTTTTTGATTGTAAAAAGGTGTACGTATATGTATGTAAATGCGCAATTTATGCACTATAAGGTCACTTTAAATACTATTTTTTATCAGTTTGGTTGTTTTGGTGCGGTAGATCACCTGTTTTCTTTTCCAAGCTGAAATATAGCTGAATCATGAGCCACACAATGGACAAATAGGTTAATTATGATGTGTAATTCTGAATTTTGCCTGTGGCACCAACAAAAGAGATAATTGTTGG